GGGGGAGAAATAAACCAAGCCTTGTATGCACATGATGAATAATAAAAAGAAAAATGAAAAAAAAAAAAAAGAAGTGAGGTAAAGCCTAGTTCTATCTGCTTCAGTTGGGCTGTACTTGATGACTTCTGAAAATAAAGTGGAAGTGACAGTGCTTGACTTTGGGGACTAGGTCATAAAAATGCACTGCAGCTTCCTTCTTGGCCACTCTTGCTCTTGTGTCATTTGCTCTGGGCGAAGCCAGTACCGTGTCACAAAGCCAGTCATGTACGGAAAAGCCACATGGCAAGGAGCTAGTTCTCTTATCACAGCCACAGGAATGAGCTCGGGAGTGGATATTGTAGCTCTTATCACACTTGAGGCTGCAACATCACAAGCTCCGGAGACAGAACCACAACTTAATGCTGCTCTTGAGTTCTTGACCCACAGACACTATAGACAAAAATAAATACTCGTTGTTTTATGCCACTGAATTTTGGAGTAATTCATTACCCAGCAATAGCTAAACAATATAGCTACTATAACAGAGAGAAAAATCCTAGAATGCTCAGATGATGCACTTTCTTTTTGTATCATAAGTATTCCAAAGTAAAGTGACAGGTGCAGGACATGGAGTGGTTCTTCTTCAAAGCTGACTGGAGACCCAGGTTCTTTTGCACCTTGCCAGTGTCCTGAGAGATTTCCTTGTTTATGCAACAGAAACTGGCTTAACAGTTGTCTATCTTGTATCCCATCCCAAAGGAAGGGCACCAAAGAGTGAAAGGACAACCTTCTCCTTGTAAGAAATAGAGCATTCCTTTTGCTTGCCTTCCATTGGTGAGAATTTAGTCTTATGGTCACATCTCTGTGCAAGGGAGGCTGTTGAATATAGTCTCTCACTGGACAGTCATGTGCCTAGGGAAGGCTCAGGGAAGGTCTATTAATAAAAGGAGAAGGGGTAATGAATACAGGTAGACACCTGGCAATCTCTTTCTACCTGAGTTCTGTTTTTGGTGCTATTTTTGTACCTTCTAGTCACTTCTCTAGCTCTCATTTTTCTCATTTATAAGGTGAAGGATTAGGTAAGATTGCTGTTTTTCAAACTTTTTTTTTAAGTAGCATAATCTTTTTATGCAGTAATATTTAGAAACAAATAGCAGGAGCTGGGAGTATACCTTAGTGGTAGAGCATGTGATTGGCCTGGGATTCATTCCCTAGCATCAAAAAACAAAACAAAATCTGCATATACACAAAAGAAAAGTAGAGCTGTTTGATTGAATCATAGTGGGGTTCCTCTCCTGTCCCCCTTTTACATCAGTGGCCCCAGTGAAATCTATTTGAAATATTGGGATTCAGGGTTGGGGATATAGCTCAGTGGTAAAGCTCTTAACCTAGCATGTGCAAGGAAGGTCCTGGGTTTGATCCCTAGCAACCCTCTCCACCCCTTTCCCCTACCTCCCCCACGCCAAAAAAAAAATCACTAAGCTAGCTTCTTTGCATAGGTTTCTTCAAAAAATACTTCACAGCAGTATATAAATAGGTGAGAGCCTATTACCCACATGTCATGTGTATTTAAAGATTCTTTTTTTTGCCTCCTGGGAGCCAGGAATATAGAAAAGAATGGATATATTTAATCCTAACATACTGTGATTCATCAACAGCACAAACTTCCATTTCATGGAGCTAATCTGTTAATGTTGACTTAAGCTCACTTGTTTTAAGCTTATGTGAGAACGTAAGTTATGCAGTCAAAAAAGCAGGGACTTTGAACCAATGTTGATTCAAGTGAGTTGCTTTATCGTATTGTTTTTTCAAAGTGCTGTCAGTTGAAAAGGGAAGCATGCTTTCAAACGTGTTTTGAAATGTTTGCCAGATTTTCAGTAGTATCTTTAATAAAGATGTTTGTCTCCAACAAAAGTTTAAAAAAGGAAAGAGAGAGGAAGAAAGAACAAAAGGGGAAAAAAGAGAGAGAGAAAGAAAAGAAAAAGGGTCACTGGACTTGACATTCTCCTGACACCCCCTGTGGCCTTGGGGTATTAGCATTGAACACCAAGGCCACACTGTATCACTGAACAACATCCTCAGCTCCTGTTGAGGTATTTTTTTGAGGTTGTGATCATTCACCTGTGTGAATAAGTTGGGCTGGATCCCAGGTTCATCTTGCTTGGCAGCTGGAAGCTTTTTTTGTACCTAGCAAGTCTTGGCAGAGGAAAATGGAAAGAGCCTTGCCCTTGGGTGTTCAGCCTCACTTTGCTTCCTTTTACCCTTCATGTGATGAATTTTGAGACATATCTCTCCTTTCTCCTAATCCAAGTGAGGGCCCCCTCTCTCCTAGGAGCAGGGGCTAAGGTGTGTGGGGCTGGGATAAAGTGTTATGAATGGCCCTGTGCCACTGCTCTGGGTCTCTCCTGGACATTCTTGGAGCAAACTCTGGCTTATCTCCCAGGTCAGCATTTTACTCACCCTCTGGCCGTGTCCTCTCCCAGGCTGCCATTGATTATTAATCACAACTGGGATGAGGCTTTCTCAAGGTTATGAACTGAGACAGTGAACTTGCCCAGCCTTAACCCAGTTTGTGAATAAACGCCATGGTCAGAGGGGAGGGGCCTGATTTTATCTCTATATCTCTTAACAGCCTAAAAGCCGCCCCAAGGAGAGTTACATAGGCCAAAGAGAAGGTTTCTGTCTTGTAGTCTGCAGACCATCAAAAGCCGGCTTGGGAACATAAACTTCTCCCTGCTTCCCAAGGGCAAGGCTGGGCCTTTCCCCAAGTACTTCCGAGATTTCTTCCTGAAAGACTCCTTCTCTTACGCTGGCTCCTGACACTGAATGGGAATTTGGCTGGAGATTTAAGGGTCTGCCAAATCAGAGGAAAAATCCTAGGTCATCCGGAAAGCCAACAACCACTGCCCACAAACTAAGAACATCCCAGGAATGGCAGGGGAAGATCTGGGTTGGAAGAAAATCAGGGATTTCTTAGGATAAGGAGTATCTTATATTTCTGGGAAAGGTATTAGGACATAGCGGTGGGGTTGATTTACCCCACAGTTTGCAGGTGAATGATCTTAAGGAGTGAAGCAGGTCTGGTGTCAGAAAATAGTGAGAAACGGGAAGAGGTGAGTAGGAGAGCAGGCACTCAACCCTTCAGAACGGGACAGATTGCTGTCATGTGCAAGTATGGGTCATAAGGTCTTTGGAAAACCAAATTTAAGTAATTTTAAAGCACAATAAGCAAAACACCTTCTGTTACCAGTTTGCACCCCACCTCTACTCCCACACCCTATTCAAAGTCCTTTTCAGATGAATCCTTCTCCCTGTATTTTTGCATCACCAGGTCTCAAATTTTCAGACCATGTTGAAGGTTAGTCTTATTTATTTATTACTATTTTATGCTGTGCTAAGGCTTGAACTCAGGTCCTTTTGCATGGGTGGGCAAGTGCTTTTCCACTGAGCCACAATCTTGCCCTACTACCAGTCTTGTCTTTTTTTTTTTTTGTTTTTTGGTACTCAGGGCCTCATGCTTGCTAGGGCAGGTGCTCTACCACTTGAGCCACTCCACCAGCCCCAGTTCTGTCATTTTTAACAGTGGCTGGATGTCCACGGGGTCAGTTCTTCATGGTGAGTCAAAGGGCCTGTATTAGTTTTGTACTGCTGCAACAAATTACCACACACTTAATGGCTTAAGCAATATGTATTTATTTACAGTACACATTTATTATTTTATAGCTAGGTAGTCACCAGTTTGACAGATCTCACTGGGCTAAAATCAAGCAGTCAATAGGGCTGTATTCTTTTTTGGAGGTTCTAGAGGAGAATTCACTTTCTTGCCTTTTCCATCTTCTAAAAGCCACCAGCATTCCTTAGCTAATGACTGCCTCCCTCTAGAGAACAAGCAATTGGGTCCAATCCTTCTCACATCAAATCTCATACTAAAGAAAAGGTTCATACTTTTAAGGATTCATGTGGTTGAGCCCAGGGCTAATATCCATTTCAAGGTTTTGATTGTAATCATATAAGCAAAATTCCTTTGGCCAGGTACTATGGTTTGGGTGTAGGTTATTCCACAAAGGTTCATGTTTGGTCTTCAGTGTGCAATCACTCAGTGATATGAAGAGGTGGTGGGCCCTTCAAAAGATGGGGGCCTAGTGGAAGGTAGTTAGGTCATTAGTGGCACTGTACTTGGATGGGACAAGTAAAGTTCTCATGGGACCTCAGCTAGTTTTATTGAGAGTGAGTTATAAAAGATCAAGACCCCTGAATCTCTCTCTGGCCTTCTGTCTTACCATGTGATCTCCCTCTCACACATGCTCCCACCTTGACACCATCCACTACAATATGATACAGCCAGGGTGTCCTCACGAGTCACCAAACCACTGGGGCCACCTGATCTTGGATTCTCACCCTTCTGAACTGTGAGCTAAATAAACCTCTTTTCTTTAGAAAGTGCCCAGCACCAAGTGTTCTGTTATAGGACCAGAAAATAGATTAATATATCAGGTAAGGTGGCACAGTCCACAGGGTCAATAGATTTGGGTTTTTCTCTCCTTCCACCAACCTTTAAAAAAAAAAAAAATGTGTGGGTTTTTTTTTTTTTTCTTTTTTGTTGTTCTGAGGATTGAATGCAGGTTCTCAAGTATGGTAAGCAAGTGCTCTATTATTGAGCCTCAAATTTCCTTTTAAGGCATCTGTTTCTAGCAGAGACCCTTGGCTAAAGCAAAATGGAGTACTCTAGAGCCAGCATAATTCTGAATCAGCTACTTGTCTCACCCCAGTTCCACCTGCTATTCCGGGGCTCAGAAGCAGCAGTTTACTCTTAGCAGCACTCCCTGTGCACCTCTCAGTTTGGACTAGTTACAGGGGTGAAGGATCAGGCAAACATCCCCTCTCTCCAGTGGTCTCCAGGGTCTGCCTCAAGGGGTTGCATCAACTGCAGAGGTGGAGACTAGAGACCAGGGAAGGAGCAGAGTGACAAGATTGACTGGGATGTCACCTACAGAAGACTTAGGCTCAGGTAGCTGGAGGCACAGGCTGCATCTAACAGGAGTACATTTCTTCCTGTTAATTTTCAGACCCTTTGTTTTGGTCCAAATGGTCAATTGCTTAAGACTAGGATGGAGGGAGCTGGACACGGAACCTCAGTTTTGGTAGGTGGGAGCGACAGGTGTCACGCTAAGGCCTGCTTGGAGGATGGGACTGATTCTACCTGTGTGATGACCAGGTTGTGGGCTCCCTCTCCTTCTCTTTGAGCCACATAGGTCTCTTTAGAGTGGCAATCTAGAAAAGACAGGGGGATCCTCAATCAACTAATATTTCCAAATGCAAACAATCAAAGCCAGCGAAGGTGGAGCAGCCAGTCTGAAGGTTTGGGGGAGTTGCTCGGTAGCAATTCCAATTCTTCCTATGTCTGACACCACAGGCCCACTCACCCTCTGCCACACTTACATACAACCTTACATGGAGGAGCTGAAGGCAAAACGTAGCAATATGATGTTTATACACAGATTCTGGAACCAGAGAAGCCAGGTTTAATTATGGCTCTTCCGCTTACTATTCATATGTCCTTGGGCAAATTAGATAACCTTGATCACCCGTTCCTAAGCATTGCCACTTACACCTACGTCTCAAGGGGTTTATGAGGATTAAAGGAGTTTGTATCTCTGAAGACAGAAGTATGTCTAGCATAGCCGTATCATGGCTTTTGTTAAATAATAAAAAGATTTAACTTGCTCTGCAAAGATAATCTGGATGCCGTTTTTTTTTTCTTGTTGTTGTTTGTTTGTTTTTGTCAGATATACTTAAGTAGCTATACTTCACTACTAAAAGTTAGAATTACATTCTCAAGTTTTTTTAATCAGGAACAAAGTGTAGGGTACATTCAGATTGAACAAAAATGGTGTGGATTCTAGACGAATACAAAGGAGGTGCTGATTAACTTGTATGCTATCCTGATCTGATCATAGTTACAGCGAGTCTTTCTAAGAGCCTGAGGTATTTTTGAGTTTATTAATAATTATTATTTCCAGTGCTAGGGAGCAAGCCCAGTGCCTCATGAATGTTAGATAAGCATTCTATCACTGAGCTACATCCCCAGCCCTTGAATTCTTTTAGTTATACTAAGTCCTGTGGCTCATGGCTCTGATAAGGGGATTAACACATTTTAATAAGAGTTACCACTGCTAACCAAGGCCTCCCTCTGTCCTTCAGAGAAATTTGTCTCTCAACAGTTCCCAAATCGTGAGACTCCAGTCCACAGAGCTTCTTCCCTCCTATTTTATAAGTCTACTTGGGAGCATTAAGACCTAAAAATTCTGAGAGATCTGGAATTCTGGTTACTAAAAGAAGGAAAGGATGCAGGGTGGTGAGGAAACTGGAAAGAGGACAAATTACAGACTGTTGGAAACAAACAGAGCTGTTAGGCTGAAAGTAAGACAGAAGAGTATCATGGGAGCTAGCTTCAAACCATGAGAAGGGCTGTCATCAAATATGGTCTAAGAGAAATGATTAAATACTGGCTCATTTTTGATTAACTTTGCTAAGGATATCGTGTTACATTCCTCTGAGCACACCTGTAAGGATTAGAAGAGAAAGCAGTTATGTCATCTTTCTCCCGCCCTTTTCGATACTGTGGCACCAGGTAAAACACAAACCCCTAAATGTAGGAGATTCAGGGCTGGGATTGATTTAACGTTGATATTCTGTTATCTCAATGGAATGAGGACTAGTGGGCACAGACAGACCCAGGTAAGCATGGAAAGAGGAGGATCTGGTTTCCTGGTGACACAAAGCAGCGGTAGATCTAGAGTTGTTGGTGCTCTTCTGCCTCTCTGTGGACTATCTGGAAATAGCAGCTCAAGATTTCCTAGTGCTTCCATAAAAACTGGTGGAGGTATTTATCACCATCATGAGGAGGTCAGGGCCCACAGCTATGCCCACCAAAGCTGGGCTTCCCAGCAGAGAGGCACAGAACCCTTTAAAACTGTATATGATATCAAGGATCTCTCTTCTTTTCCACCATTTTTATTTTTCCCCAGTCACCTGGATCCAGTATGCAAGTTACCATCTGAAGACTCTGAGTCATGCACCTCTGTCATTCTTTCGACCATGAGCAGCTCCCATGGTAAACCTCCCACACCTCTTCTTCCTGTGCTTGGAGTAACAAACCTGTGAGTTCTTCCTCTGGATTCATGGCTTTTCACACCATCTCTTCTCTATTCTGTCTCTATGTTGTGGTCTGTATACACCCGTGCTTCTGCATCCCTGACTCCCTGCTCAGACATAGGATACAGATGGCCCTTTTGCTTCAGTAAGTGACAGAAGGGAACACTTGAACACAAAGTGGGAAAGGGACTACTAGTCACTGAACACACCTTGGTGGAATTCAGCAGTGTCTGAATCCCAGGACCACTTCTACCTACAGTTAGTCCATCCACCACACTACCCAGTCTTATTCCTTATCCCCTCCCAAAAAGAGCAAGAGTGGCTGGGGTCCTCTTCTCTCCAGCCACCAGGGGAGGGTGGGTTATCTAGACTTTCTACTACTTGCCACCTGGACCTCTCTCTCCAGCTGGGAGCCAGGGACCCACTGACAGGCCTGGCCTGACTTCCCTTCCCCTCCCCTCAAGCTTCCAGACCCTGCCGCAGCCTACGGTCCAGGGCCAGAAGCTGCCTCAGGAAGCCCCGGTTGGGGATGATGCCTCGGTGATCCTTGACTTTTTTGATGGCTTCCACGAGGGTGAAGTGGTGGTACAGCATGAGGTAGGCCAGCACCAGGGTGGCAGACCGGCTCACGCCCACAGCGCAGTGCACCAGGATCTTCCCTGTGAAGAGACACAGAATCAGCTGGGAGGAGGCTAGAAGCAGGGTGATCTGGACAGGTGAATAGAAAGAAGGTAAGCAGAGGTGCATGGAGACAGGAATGGGTGCAGGTGAGTGCTATTCCTTAATGTCGACAGATCCTGGGCTGGGGGTATAGTTTGGTAATAATACAGTGTGTGTCTAGCACGGGCACGACCCTGGATTCAGTTCCTAGCCCCCAAAACAAACAATAACAACAACAAAAACACACTTTCCAGCAAGGGGAGAGGCTCAACAGAGTGAGATGGAGAGGACGTGCAGCCCCTCAGGGTCTGTAAACCTGAAAAAGGCAAAGACTTATCCCTGACTTAAAACCTAGATTTGCACAGAGCAGAGTCTCAGTTAATATTTGCTGAGTGCATCAATAGGAAACACCTCTGTGTTGAACCTGGGCTGTCTTCAGTCTCTTCCACCCTACTTTTGTTGTTGTTCTTTGTTTTTTGAGACAGGGTCTTGATCTGTTGCTCAGGTTGGCCTCAAGATCTTGGCCTAGGCTCAATGAATCCTCCTGCCTCAGCCTCCCAAGTAGCAGGGACTCCAGGCATGTACCACCGTGCCTGGCTCCCCCACTCTTCTATCTTGCTGTTTCTCTCAATCATTACATATCTTTTTATTCACATGAATCGTAGTTGTTTTGTATTCAAGGCAGATTGGTGCCAGGATTCCCTGCAGATACCAAAGCCATCCAATGTTTAAGTCCCTTATATAAAATGGCACAGTTATTTGCATATAACATACACACATCCTCCTATATACTTTAAGTTATTTCTAGATTGTTTATAACTAATATTTACATTTGTGTAAATGTTACACAAATAATTGTTACACTGCATTGCTCAGGGAATAGTAACAAGAAATAAAATTCTGTACGTATTTAGTCCAGACTTTTTTCCCCAAATATTTTCCATCTGTGGTTGTTAAGTCTAAGGATGAAGACTGTATTTTCTTTTGATCACTAAGCATTGTTATCTTGCTTAAGGTAAAAAAATAACTGGAAAACACAGAAATATGTTTAAAGAACAAAATGCAAAACCTATAGCATCCACAATCTTACCACCCAGGTGCACTTAACAATTTGGACAATTTCCTTTTTTTTTTTTTATGTATTGCCTTGAACAGAAAGGATTGAGAGAATATTTTTCTTTCCTTAGCATTATATTGTGAACATTTTGTCATAGCTCTCCATACTTGGCCCATTGGGCTTCTCATGAACTTCAAGTCCCTAACTCTTTCCTCCTTTTGGCTCTCCCCTCTTACCTCCCGGCTGGCTCAGTGCCCGGTGGATGAAGTCGGCAGCCGTCTGGAAGTGGATGCTCATGTCAAAGGCTGGTGAGTCGTGGGCCTCCACACCCAGGTAGCGGATGCCCAACCCCTCGTAGGCCTCAGGTGGGCCTCGCCACCTGTTGTGTGAGGCGTTGAGGACGTGAGTGATGCCCAGGCGACGAAGCTCACGGCGGTTGTTGGCCATGTCCCTGGATTGAGCAGAGTTTAGAGGAGGGTGGGGAAGCCAGGTGTCAGGGAAGTTTTTGGTCCAGGTACTATCACTGGCTCCAGGTCCTACTGTATGTATTAACATCCCTGAAGGGAGGAAGAGGGGCACTGACTTGAAGTCTTGTCCTGTGAACAGTGTTTGAGAGAGCTGAATATGTTTTGGCTGGAGAAGAGAAGACTAGGGGATGGGGTGTAAATGATCATAATTAAATATTGAAAGAGTGCTCTGAGGAAGTGGGATTTTCCTTGATCTACAGGGCCTTAAGAGCAGAAATAAGATCAAAGGGTTAATTTTGTAGGGAAACATGTCAGTGTATTAACAGTGGGATCTAGCCAAAGAAGCCTTAGAGCACCTTGGGACAGAATAAGTTTCCTGTCACCAGGTATTCAAGCAAAGAGAAATCAACATACTGACATGAGCGTTGCAGAGAAGATGTGAGCATCAGGAGGGTTGTCAGAACTGCTCACATTTAGCATCCTTGCTAGCTAGGGTCAGGGGGCCTGGCTCAGTATCCCTAGCATCAAAATAATTAAAAATAAAAACAAATTTATGTGGTATCCCTGTTAATCTCCTCTTTTTCTTCTTCTTCCTCCTCTTTCTTTTTTTTTTTTTTTTTTTGAGACAGGGTCTTCCTATGTAGCTCAGACTGACCTGGGACTTGAGACCTTCCTGCCTCAGCCTCTCAAGGGCTGGGATTACATTTGAATACCACTGTGCCTGGCTCCCTGCTAACTTAACTCCCCAATAACTTTATATGCTCATTGACACCCAGAATCCTCTTTGGTTTTGGCAGTTATTCTGTGGCTCACATTTACCCTGTTTTGTAATGTCACCTTCAAATGTTCATCTGGCCCATTCCCCTTCTGCTTAGTGGTAGATATCCCCCACAAAACCCTCTATCTACGCTATGCAAACTCCTTAAGGAGAAAGAGCAATGAACTTGACTCTCCAAGTCCTGACTCTGCAACTTATGACATGTGTGACCTTGGGCCACTCACAACTCCCCTGAGCTTCAGTTTTCTCATCTGTAACCTGGGGACAGTGAGGGAGGAGCTAGTACCTATTACAGGAGGCAGTTGTGAAGATTAAGGGTGAAAATGCATGCAAGAAAATCCTCATGCACATAGGATAAAGGTCTTGAGGGACACAAGGAGGGATTGCCCTTCCTTTGATATTCCTCTCTCCCTAACACCCATCTTGTAGCCCCTGAAGACACTGTGGCTTTGCTTGTTCTCTAGAGATCCCAGCTCACCACATCTTCAGCATATTACCTCCTGCTCCTGTCTTAGTGGCTGCCTTTTTCCAGAGCCATAGTTCAACAGCTGGAAGGTCAGAGCAATGTGCCTGGTACATAGCCTTGGCAGTCAGTACTAAATTTTTGCTAAATGAATAAGAGTTTTTCTGTCCAGATGTGAGTATTTCAATAATTCTGTTCAAACTCTCCCAAATCCTCCAGCCTGTACTCATGTGCCCTCTGTCTTCAGTCTTTGACCTGAAACCAGCAACACAACTCAGTGTCTGTCTGCCACCCTTTCCCTTCTCCTTTCTATACCCCACCTCCAAACACACCCCGCCCCCCAGCCACTGTCCCAATCTACCCGGTACATACTGGTCTCCAAGGTAGAGGCCTGGCCAGACCTCGTCGGCATGGTTACAAGCTGTCTTGCCTGTGTAGAGAAGTCTCTCCAACTCAAAGACGTTGAGGAAGGGATGTTGAACGGTGGGCATCTCTTCCAGGCTCCCTCTTGTGCGAACAGGAGACCTGGAGCTACTCCGGGAAAAGCGGGTCATAAAAGTCATGGAGGCCCAAAGCCAGTTACCAGGGCACATTTTCTAGGCAGCAGGAACCCTGGCAGCTGCACGGTTACTGTAGTGATGATGGGTTCGGTCACTAGGTAGCTGTTTTTGGAAGAAAAAGGGATGTGAGACACACTTGAGGAGTCCAGAGCAGCTGCTTCCCTTCCCAACTGGGCTGGGCCCCGGGGAGAAGATCTTCAAGGGACAGCAAGGCCAGCCCAGGTAGAGACCTTCAGGATTGCCTTCTTCTTCAAGCTGTGGCGGCTCCTTTTACTGAGCTCTTTGGTTCTGTCATGCAGGGAGGTGGGAGAGTCACATGTCCTTGTTTACGAGAAGAGGGAGCTGCCCAGCTGCTGGGTTTCTGCTCCACTGCCCCACCCCCACTGCCAACACAAACATGCACATACAAACATTGGGCATTTGGGTGTGGGGTGCTTGCCAGCCTGGATCTGGGTCTCATCTGCCTGGGGCTATAGGCAGAGAGTCTAGGGAGCTGGAATAGGGATGGGGGTGGCTTTGGACCCATCCGGAGAAAATCAGCAGGAAGACAACAACAGCTGGGGCCACAACATATGCCAGGCCTGCTTCCTAGGTGCCAGAGGGATGAAGTGCCTTAACCCATTCTTGACCTGCCTGCCTCAGAGATAAGCCAGCCACAAGGGGAAGCATCTACAAGGGGATGGGGTGAATAGGAAACAGCAATAAAGAGTAAGTTTGGGGATGTGAGAGCTAATGGAAGAAGGCGCCAAACTATGCGCACAACAGGTAAACCACACAACAGGCAAACTGCCCTCCTTTGATCAAGCCTCATCTCTAAGGTGAGAATTACGGGGCAAAGAAGGGTTGGAGCTGTGTCTGTGTGTGGTGTGGAGGGGCAGATGATGGGGCCTGGAGAGGAAGAAAGAAAGGGGAAAATGAGAGATCCCAGAGGCCTGGTGCTCAGAGGCTCAGAATCACCATCTTTAGTGCTGTTGGAATGGACTGACCCTACACACCCAAGCAGAGGGTTAGTCACGAGGGGCTTTACCAAGAGTTTCAGAGTATCTGTGGGCAGTAGGCCCTTCTGAAAGTGGAGTCCTACTTTGAGCTTCACAACTGGAAAGGGTCAGCCTTTGAGGCTTGCTCTGGGACCTTTAGGCTGACAGGCAACTGTGGCAAATCATCCCTCTTTGACTCTCACACCTATGGTCTTCCTTGTTTGAAAGGGTGGCCTACCCTGCAGAGCCCACTCCCAATCCCTTCCCTGCCTTCTGCCACCCAAGACCTCAACTGAATGTCCAGCAGTGAGAGGCCATCTTTGTCCATGACTGCACACTCTCTCAACCAGACCCACTTCTCCCTTCCCTCAGGGCGGGAGAGACCAAGTGCTCACAGGACATCAGAACAAAGGTTTGGGAATCAAGACTAGAAAGGGAAGACTCCATGTTCAGGTGTGTAGGGACAAATATTGTTTCAATGGCTAGGGCAGGAGAAACAGAAATATAGCACCACAACCACCACCACCATCTTTCCTTCCCATACCTGAAGACCCCACCCTTTCTTCCTAGACAGCCTTTTCCCCTAATAGATCCTGCTTCCTCGGTAATAAGGAAAGGTGAGAGCAGTGGGAAGGAGCCCAGCTGCAGAAAGCAGACCCTGAGTCTGCTGGGGGTAAAGCCCCATTCTGTCCCTGGATACACCCCTGGTTATTCTCTAGTCCCATCACCCGCAGCCCTCTCCCTCCATCGCCGCTGTAACAGGTCCATGGCCGTCGCCTCAGCGCTTTGCCAACGCAGAGGGTGGAGGGAGGGAGCCCTCGCAGGGCTGCGATGCCCCTTGCTTGTCCCCCTCTCGCCCCCAGTCTCCAGCGCGCGCCCCTGCCCGGCCTGGCGAGGCTGGGGGGAGTCTGGAAGCCGAGGCCCCTCTACCTGTTTGCGCGCAGTGGGCGCTGTCAGTTCCCGAGGCCGATCGCAGGCGCAGGCCGCCCCACGGCCATGATCTCCCGCAACGCCGCCGCCGGGGCTGCTGCTGCTCGCGCGCGCTGCCGGATTAGCATCTATTTTTAAGTCATGACACCCACGTCGAAGCAGGGTTCCTACCGGTGTGTGCGTTGCTGACACCCAGGGACACTGTCTCACATTCAGTGACCCGAGCCGCCACGCAGCATGGGCGCACCGCACCCCCACCAGCCCGCCCCGGATTCCAGACCAGACAGATCCACGTAGCCACGGCGGCACCGCCTCGCAGGCAAGCTGAGTGGTGTCATAGCCGGCCAATTGCAAAGCATTTTGCCCAAAGATTGCAAGCCTTCCTAGGCAGTGTCAAACACACATACTCCTCCCAGAGAGAGTGAGTTCATTACACAGACATGCTGTGTACACTCATCTGTCCATTTCTCATTATACAGAAGAGCGATCATCAGGTACCCATATTAGCATTTACCATAGGCATGTGCTTCGCATATCTTAACACTTTTCCGCCTCATCATAAGTCTATAAGGTAGGTAGTCTGGTCTTCATTTTAAAGAGGAGGAGGGCTAAGTAAATCGCCCAGGTCACCCAACTAGGTATTGGTGGAGCTGAGCATCAAACAATGGCAGTCTGACTCCAAAGTTCACGTCCTTTCCTACCTCTAACACCTACCCTTACCATGGAGAATGCACCTTAGGTTTCATTCAGGAAGGCTTTTTCAGCAGCTTGGCTCACAGTGAACTCCATTTTTCCCAGACTCCAGAAGAAATTAATTTCTACATCTTTTCTATGTATTGCATTTTAGTTATATTTAGCATCACTGGCTTTTCTTGTACAGGCTAAGAGTGAACAGACCTGAGGGTAAGGACTGCTGCCTTTCCCAGAGCCTACTTCCTTGTGGGATGGGGGTGGGATGGGATGAGGATGGAGAGAGAGAAGGAATGTTATCCCATGGAGTTGAGAACTAGGCAGAACTCTAGCTGTCTTCTAGAAGAAAGGCAGGAAGCAGGTAAGTTCAGGATGGGGCCGAGTTGGGATTTGAAGATGATGGATCAACTATGGCTGAGGTCAGGAATTGGAATCTACATTCCCAGCTGGGAGAGCAGATGAGTCAGGTTTGTGGGGAAGGGGCGAGACTTTTGGCCACCTAGGATTCATCTACCTCCTAGTGTTTCTTCTCCAGAGAGGCAAATTCAATTCTTTTTCAGTTTTCCCTGTGCTTTCTTGGTATGGCATTTTACATGAAGAGTTGAATTCCTCACCCCTTGACTGGAGAATTGAGATTTTAATTTGTAGATCCAGGCAAATCTACTAATAATTACCACAAAATAAATTATGAAAGAGCACTTAATCATAAGATCAGCCTCATTTTAAGCAAGAGTCCTCAGGATTGTTGTTAAGTACTTGTTTGTAACAAGTACTTAAACTGTTTTTGCTGAAGAGCACTGACTGCTTACCTGGGCTCACAAATTGACTAAAAGCGGGAGAAAAGCTGGGCACCCCTACCTCTGTTTTTGTATCTGCCCTTGTTCTAAGCCTTTCACTTTGCAACCATCTTGGAATGCAGGAAACACAGGACTGATGGGTAACATCTTTATGACAAGGGACCAAAACTACCCTTAAGGTACAGCAGAGCTTTATAGGACAGACCACTCCCCAAGTATGAAGTTGCACCCTGGAGTAGGAGTGATCATCTCATGGGAACCAGATTGCTCCCCTCAGGTGATGTCAGTGACAACAATTTCTCTGGAACCCTTGGGGAACCAGAACCGAGATAATGACCAACCAGGCCACATCTGTACCTGGGACTGTTTATGCATATCTTTCTCTCCCTGCCCCAATTCTTCCTTTATTTAAACCTGAAGTTCATGCCTGTACCCAGAAGATGGCTGAAGATGTGCTGAAGTTCTTATTTTGCCTCTTCCCATGGTTTCCCATGTCGTGTAATGAATCTCTTTTTGCTGCCCTTCACCCTGTCTTTATTTGGCGTGTTGGGGCAAGCAGCTGTACCAGACATGTGGAACACCAGGAATTTGGGCCTGGGGCCTAAAACTCCCATTTCAGGTTGAGAGGATGTTGTAGGTAAAATTGATCTCAATTTTTAACAAGCATTGCCCTTTTCTCATGGATCATATGGGGATCTGTTTATAGGTAACCATAGAAACTGTCCCTGGACCAACATCTCCATGAAGACATTTCCACAGGCCAGCCGTAGATCAAGTGGTTTCATAGTTTTCCTGATAAGCAGGCTTGTGATGTTTCCAGGTAATACCAAACTATAAAAAGGATGGAGAGAAGGAAGGAGGATGGAGGAAGATTCTCAGGGAAGGGATACTAGAGAAGGTAGAATGGGAAAGGAGAGGAAAGAAAGAGAAATGGCATGTATTGATCATTTATATCTGTCTGTTCCTTGGGCTTCACATACATCAGCACATTTAATTCCACCGACATTTTGAGTGGGTATTATCCTCAGTGAATACTTGAGGAGTCTGACATTTGGTTGTGTTAGTTAACTCACTCACAGCTAATCTGTGAGCCCATCTTATTCAAAACTTTAATATTTGAAGACTAGGCTAAAGAACCACTTTTTCTGTAAAGCCTTTCTAGATCCACTCTTCTTCATCTATTTCCTTCCTCATGTTCATATAGACTTCTATTAAAGGATCTATGAGCTATATTTACTTTATTTAAATCCTTAGTCCCCTTAGTGGAAGATGGAGGTCATGAACGGATACACATGCACGCACATACACACACACACACACACACACACACACACACACCAGGATTAATGTGAAAATGAGGTTATTGAAAGTTAGGGATAAGTGAGTGGGGGGTGAAGGAAGCTCAGTGGTAGAGCACTTGCCTAGCATTGTGTGAGGCCCTGGGTTAAGATCCCCAGCACTGGAAAAAAAAAATACAAGGGGGAGTAAATTTCAAAAGGCAGAAGTTTAATATTAGCAGAATATTAAAAATAAAAAGACTCTAAGAAGACAGACCAACAAAATGCATATCAAATGATAATTCTAATAGCTACCATTTGACCATAGGCTGGTCTTTACTTACATTAGCTAATTTAATCTCATAAATAGGTATGTTTTTAATCTTTTTTTTTTTTTTGGTGGTATTAGGGTTTGAACTCAGGGCCTCACACTTGCTAGATAGATGTCTACCACTTGAGTCACTCCATCAGTCCTATAAATAGATATTATTAATTCCATTTATAGTTGAGGAAACAGGTTTAGATTGGTGGTAAAACTACTCCAGAGAGGACAAAGAGCTAACAATGAGTGAGATTTGAGCATGACTTTAAACCTAGTACCATTTTAGCCTGAAGTCTATGCCTCAAATCTCTCTACTACATGAAAAAAAAAGTAATAGTTAAAATGTATCCACCCCTACTGTGTACCATGCATTTAAGAGAAACAATAGGAATTTCCCACAAGAGTCTGGAGGTTTTCCAAAAAGAAGCATTCTCAAACCTCAAGGTCTTTGTCCTTAGGGGCGTGGCTCCCTAGTGGTGCTGAGAGGTGGGAGAAGTCGCCTTTAGTCCCTGGGAATGTTCCCTGCTGCTCCATGATTCTTTCTTCTGTGTACAGGAACTGGGCTTTCTCCTAACCCCGCCCTAGCTACTGCCATGCTCATCTTCCCTGGGCTGTGATCTTGAAATCTGCAGCTGGTAAAACAGAGCTTTCACCTAAACCTTCACCTAAATCTTCAAATAACAGAGGACTGACAGTCCTTCTGCTTCTTTCTTGCCTTTTTCTCCACTACCCGCCAGGTGTCCTCTGGTGATTTGTGTGTCTGTCCCTTTAGGCATCTACCTGGTGTTAGTGGGGATTTCCCCTGCCTGCTGACTGAATAAGGGAGGAAGACAACTGGGCAGAATGAGAACCTGGTTTTGCTTCAAGTTCAATTACTTCCTTCTCCAGCCCTCCACCAATGTATTTGGTGGCCATTTTCCTGCTGATTACCCGGGGATGAAAACATTTTCCTACTATGAATATTAATTTTCTAAGGATCACATGTTAGTGCAAGGTGCAAATTACCGCCCCCCCACCATTAGAGAGACAAATGTGTCTGGGATTACCACTCCCCCCCATTAGAGAGACAAGTAAACTGGGATTATAATTTGCAAATTAAAAAAAAAAGGATACAAAAGAAATATGCAGTAAATCTCAGCACTAACATAAAAGAAAGAAAAAACATGTATGATACACATTTTGGAAAAGACTGAATGTCAATCTGCCAAGTATTAAAAGAGGTAAACGCTAGACAGAGTGGAACTACAGATCATTTTTATTTATTTATTTTTGGTATTTTGAGACTATGTAGCACAGGCTGGCCTAGAACTCATGATCCTCCTGCCTGCCTCCCCTGTGCTGGGATTGTAAGCATTTGCCACCTCACCCTGATTTCACTGAGTTTCTTTAAAGTACAATCCCAAAATTTGGTCTTCATTTGCCAAATTTGCTACAATAAGAATGAATTAATTTAAACAATCAAGATGAATTAGTTTTCTTTTCTTTGTTTTTTGATACAGTGTCTCACAATATAGCCCAGCCTGGCCTCTGTACCCCAAGTGCTGGGATTATGGATATGTACCACCATGCCCAGCCTTGAATTAATTTTAAATGTCAGTTTTATATAATTATTTGATACTTCCTTAATGGCTTCATATATAGCCAATTTTTAGTAAATGAACCACATATGCTTGCAAAGAATATATGAAAGAAAATTTAATCTATGCATTAAAATTTCTATTTTTGTCTCCCTTCTACATAAGATTTCAAAATATTCTAAATTCTTAACATTTTGGTCTTGAGGAAGGGATTAAAATCTCCTATGTTTGTAAACTTGTTAATTATTCCTTCTAATTCTGTCAATTTTCACTTGAGACATTACCACGCTGTGTTATTAGATACACAAAGTTTACAGGAGTTATTTCTTTAGTTATTTAAAAAATTTTGGGGTTTGGCAGAGTGGCTCAATTGGTAGAGCACCTGCATAGCAAGTGTGAGGCCCTGAATTCAGACCCCAGCAATGCAAAAAAAAATTTTTTTTTTTTTGGTCACTAAGCAATCTAAGACTCTTAATACTTTTTGCTTTAAATTTTTTGTCTGATATTTAGATGTATGACCATTTTGTTTTTGTGTTTTTCTTGCATTAATGAAATCTCTTGAGTATGTGGTGGTACATATGTGTAACCCCAGTAC